GGAGCCATCAGAGATAGAGTTGGAGCCAGTGAAGAAACGAATCGCGACAGGTTTTCCCAGAATTGCCGAAATTGGCTGTCGGTTTTTGATTGTGATGGCGGGTTTTCTCCTTGATAGTATGTTCAATTTTTAGAGCGACACCTAGAACAGAAAGCGCTGGTCCAGTTGTAGTTGGAGCCAACGGACGCAGAGTTGGAACCAGTGTATGGGCGAATCCTTTCAGGAATTGCTCGAATCCTGACCTAGGATATCCTATGTTTTTTTATTTACAATAAATGGATTTATTTCATGAATTTTTTCAATATTATTTAACAATTTCTATTGTATTCGGACAAGTTTTTTCTCCGATTATTCGATGTAAAAAATAAACATATCTACATGATCTTTTTCGATATGAACTAAACTAATATTTCTCTTTATTTCTCTCCATAGTTCAGCATTAATTTGTTCAAATGTTGAATAATAATCAATTAAAACCTGTCTCAACTATATTACATTAAAATTTGATTTTAAATAGAACTCAGTTTATTTAATATGTGTAAATATTCAACAGTATCCGAGTTACTAATATGACTTTCTAAAATATTAAAGTCTTCTTTTATTTCATAATAAATATCTCCATCTAACAATAATTCAACCTGTTTGTTATATTTTACAATTTTAAAACTATATTTTTCTACCATTTTTAGTTCATTTCTCTCTATCGTATGCGTCAAGAATCGATAGGTAAACTTTAATCTTTGCTGTTTAAATGTTGCACCAGAAAATAAAGAGACGTAAATTTTTTACCTCTTAAAACACTACACAATTCTTTTGTATTTTTCATTTTATTTCTAAATGCAAAAACAATAAACAACAACGATTCAAAGGCACTGGTTAATACAATCTTCTAGACACAAAATTCTTTTATTCAATCTAACAGTGTATATTGCTAGGCAAATTCGTTTTTTTAGTCTGTTCAAGGTAGCGTCTAGAATTCCACTTCCATTTTTTGTTCATTCTCTTTTTCTTCTTATACCTTGACCGTCTTCTATGAAATGTAAAAAAAAATTTATATAAAGCGCTAGAATGTGTACATACACAACAAATGTTTCAAAGTTCTGTCTCTCTTTATTTTAATACTTTTAGTTATCAAAATCGCGCTGGGCGCGACACTCCCGGCGAAAAAGTTCAGAAATAGGTTTTCGGGCGCGATCGGCCGTTCCGCGTTTCGATTTTAATTTTATTTGTTCTTTTTCTTCTTCTTCGCCATTGTTAATATCTGTTACCTTTTCAACAACTTTTTCTCCTTTGTTGATACATTCTAAGGGATACAGTAGTTTTATCGATCGGTTAAATTGTTTGCTCTTCGGTGTACGCACTACCGCCGACCGCACTTCGCCGTCCACTCCAGGCAATATACGTTGAACCAAACCAATCTTCCACAAGCCTCTAGGCAAATTTTCTTTGGTCAGAACTGCTTGACCAACTTGGGGTACATCGCACGCTACACGTCGAATTTTGTTTCCATTTTTTCTTTCTCGAAGACTAAGTAGATAATCATCTCGAACTGTTTTCCAAAAATATCTAATACTTTCTGATCTTTCTTGAGCGTTTTGAGTAATGTTTCTGACGAATCTTCTTTTCGTTTAAAATTTGCATCGTTCTCGTCAATATCGATTTCTGGAAATCCAGTGCGATGATCGCTACCCAGAAATACTACTGGTGTTAATATAATTCCATCATCCAACGTCTAACCAATAAATCCGAGCTGTCTCGAATTGATGAGCGATTCGACTTCGATGACCACCGTTTCCAACTGTCGATATGTAAGAAGATGACTGTCTATTATTTTCCTTAAATTTCTTTTCACAAATCCGACCAGCCGTTCGTAGAAGCCACCCATCCACGGTGCCAATCAGACAATAAATTTCCAAATAATTCCTTCATTCGCAATGTAATTTTGAATCGATGAATCAAATAATAGGTTCGACCAGATTTTTAAAAACGTTGTATTTGCCAAACGAAATTGTTTTCTATTGCTTGAAATAATCACCTTCGGTTTCCCACGTCGAATCATGAATCTACGAAAAGCTTCGATGAATTCACTTGTCGTCATATCAGGAACAAGTTCCAAATGCACCGCTCGAATAACAGCGCATGTAAACCAACAAATCCAAACCTTTTTCTGTTCGTTTTCGCCGTCTTTCATAATTAACGGACCCAAATAATCCACGCCCATATATGTGAATGCGAGTTAGATGAAATTATGATTAGGTTGAATATAGCTGATTATGAGCTATCTAGTTTCATACTACATAATTACCCAATGTAAATATATTCAATATGAAACTGCTTTTCAAAAACAACACTTTCAGGGTTGAAAAGTTGAAAAAGCTCATGTTACTTAAAACTCGAAAAGCAGCTTATTTTTTAAAAAAACTAGTACGAGTGTCTCATATACTAATTTTGGTAATTTTCAAACATTTTTATCCTTATTCTAGGTGAAAAACTGTATCTAAAAAATACACTTTTGACGTTATTCAAAATTTGAAACTAAGCTTATTTTCAAAACTTCACCAATTTTTGCCGGTTTTTAAAATCTAAATATTTTGAAATGTTTTTCGAGGAAAATTCTCTTCTAAAACGTAAAATCACATTTTCTTTCGTAACTGAACGAGCTCTATCTAATTATTCATGACAAAAACAGAGAAAAAAGGTTTGTTGCACTTTTACATTGTCAGTGTTTGACATGTTTGCGTACGCTAAGCTATTAAAAACAATTCAAGCATTGATTTATTCAATGCATAAAACTGTATAAAAACTACAGTAGTATCGGAGTCAAAAGTCAGTGCACTCGGATGTTTTGTCAACAACGTTTGGTCGAAATGAGCTAGAGAGTTCTGGTTTTCATTATTTTGAAGTAAATTCATGGAGCTATTGAACGACCTAAAACTGATCAGAAAACCACCAGTTTCAGGTGGTGTACTTTCTCGAACCAAATGCTGGGCAGTGCAGAGGAAAGGATTCCAGATCAAATTTTCGTCCTAAATTTACATCTGGATAAAGCAACACCTGCACAAGTCCGAGACCTCTATCGTTTTTCGTCTGGGAGCTACAAACATTTTGCTGGGCCCACCTGGAAATCCTCGGAACAGACCATTTTAGGAGTTTGCACCCTCAGTAATATATGCAAAGATAGGTTTTGAACTATGCTGATTCTTGTGGCGATATTTAGTTTTCGAAAAAAGTTCACAAACCTAGTGAAAACTTATACTGGATGAAATAACCCATTTCTACCTATTTTCACGTAAAATTAGAAAATTCATAACTGAGTCAGAATTGATCCAGACTTTGTCAGAATATCAAGATATGCTCTGCGACATGTCCTGGAGTCAAATAAAACTTTTAGAGGCAACAAATTTTTGGATGAAAGCAGAACAGCTGGAAGCAGTTAACAACAGAATAACTGCACGATTGATTACGAGCCGATAGCAACGTTATTCGCGAACAAACAGGGGAGAGTCAGTCAATTTTAATATTTATATCGCAGCAGGTGTTCCATGTAAACATTGTTATGCTTTAGAAATAAAAAGCAGAAATCAAAATTTCATTTTGAACACTGTTGGACTATTGGGTACCTGATGTATAATTGATTCCTTCTATATTTGGTAAATAGCAAGATATTGCATAATATCTTAAAATATATCGTGAAAATTTGATAAATAAGCATAATCTTTGTCAGCAGTAATTATTAAGTATAGGAAACGATCAAATTCTTTTAGGGGGTGTAGTTGTGCAGAAGTTAATGGGCTGGTAATTTGCTTGCTTAAGAAAGCAGATTCTTTTCTGGATGTCTTTCTACTACAAGTAAATTCACTTGAGAGTATCTCATTTTCAACAAATTTTTGGATGAAAGCAGAACAGCTGGAAGCAGTTAATAACAAAATAACTGCACGCTTGATTATGAACCGATAACAACGAACAAACAGGAGAGAGTCAATTAATTTTTTACTATTTATATCGCAGCAGGTATTCCAGATAAACATCTTTATGTTTTAGAAATAAAAAACAGAAATCAAAATTTCATTATGAGTACGGTTGGCCTATTGAGTACCTGATGTATAATTGATTCCATCGATATTTTGTAAGTAGCAAGATATTGCATAATATCTTAAAATACTGTTTTGACTTGAACTCGACTGCTAGCTATCATGATCGATTCTACAACCACGATATTTTGTCGGAATTGTTTGAAATTGTAGAATTTATTGTTCATGTTGCCGCATAATGCATCATTTTGAAACCAACGTTTATCAGTAAATACATCAGCGCTTAGTGTACCACACAATGGAATTACCACAAATTTTTTATCGGTTGACAGTACATAATATCGCACATAGTTTGTGTATCGTTCAATATTACCTTGATTGTAATCAAATAGAGCTACATACACAGGACAGGTAATACATAATTTTAGCAATGTCATTATTTGGAACTGTAACGGTGTTCGTAATGTCTTCCAGTTCAAAAGCATTGATTTGAGGATGAGCCATTTTCAAAAATTTTTTCTTTCGTTCTCTTATATAACGGGTGCGGCAGAATAAATGGACGATTTGTATTCTGACCATAACTTTTTTGGATCTCATGCTTTAGAGCTAAATTTTTTTAAAAGATGGTCCGTGAAATTCTCACCAAAATCATGTATTTTATTTAATCTAAATAATTTCCACTGTTTTGCGATAAGCGATACAAACGATTAGTCCAACTTGTACAACTTTCCAAAACAACTTCAGGTCGAATATTTTTAACACCACGTTTTAATTCATCAGTCAAGTTTTTTTTATTGGATCTTATCCCAATTAATTTGCTGGACAAATTCATTCCATATGCAGTAATCCAAAGGATTGATATCCGGACTATTCGGAGGCCAATGATCCTTATCAATAAAACTCGGAAAATTGTACTTGCACCATTGTTGTGATAAATGGTGGATGTGTGGTCTTCCACCGTCTTGTTGATATGTCCAATAATTCCCAAATACTTTGTCTCCATACTATTTAGCCACTGGTAAGACTTCCGTAATATGACGTTCATGACCTAAAGTTCCTTCTTCAAAAATGGTTCAATCCGTTTCTTGTATGGTCGAAGATCCAGATCCTTTTTCAGTATACGTCGAACCGATCGTTCAGAAATATCTAAGTCACTTGCTAATTTTCGAGATGATACTCGTTTTTTTCTCTTTAACCGGTTTTTCACTTTCTGAATCATTGTTTTGGTACGAATAACACGTGGACGACCGGTCGGACTTGATAAATTAATTGAGCCGGTCTCCTTGATCATTTTGCACCACCTTCCAATCGTTCTAAGACCAATAACACCATTTAAATGACGAAATATCATCGGTGGACTATCACCATTTTTGTACTTGGAAATTACAACATTTTGTAAGTCTTTACTTTTCATCTTTTAAAAACTACCTGTATCTAAAAATGAGACATAGATTATAGGTTTTTGTAGAGAATTTCACGATGCCCTTTTAAAAAAAAATTTAGCTCTATAGCATGAAATCCAAAAAAGTTATGGTCAAAATATAAATCGGCCATTTATTCTGCCGCACCCGTTACATATATAGACATATGCACCAACAACCATCATCTTCGTGGTACTTTCTCCAAAGCTTCATCGAAATTTTACGATCAAGATAATTCGTCATGCTTCTTTACTGTTATTAAGGGTACCCCTCCGCACTTTTTCGTTTTTGTTTCTAGTTTTTAACTATTGTCGTTCACCAGTTTTTCAGAAAACTCGATTTTTCATTGTGCCACATTACACCCCTCCCTCCCCCTTAAATTTCATCCGATCAAGTTAAAAGTTTTACCAGAGGTACCCAACGTCATATCGTAGAGGTATTTTTGGGATATTTTTTTTTAAAGATCTTTCCAGTTCGAGTTAAACGCATTTTGTACACAGGGCACTTTTTCTCAGGGTACTTATCGCGATGCTTATATCTCCACGAAAACCCATTAGAAAATTCTGGGAGACGTCTCAGTGTGAAGAAAAGACTTCTTCTATCAGACTATATGTAAAAAAAATTTTGAGTGTACAGGAAAGGAAAGAAAAATCTATGAAAGTAAAAAGTTGGGTTTTTTCAGGGTTTGAAGGAAAAATTCAGAGTTTGAAAAAAAAAATTATCACGTTTTGAAGAAAGGTCGTGGAATGCTGAGAGTGGTCCCGTTTTGTAGCGCAGAGTTTTCTCTACATTAGGCTGTGTTTAGCTCAAAATTCAAACTTTTTTCAAAAAAGAGGGGGCTACCCTGTTATATGATAATAACAGTTAATATTCCATCACATGATTTGTTGAAAAAAACTAAAGAGGATTGCAGTATGTAATTGAACAGTACTAGTTCACGTTTTTGCTTATCTGTTAACAAGAAATCTTTCTTCGAAAAAGGAAAGAAATAATTACTAAAAGTCAAGTAAACTTCCGCATTCATATTCAAACAACACTGGACCTTATCAGCCATTCATATTCATAAAGATAAAATTTTTAGAATAAAAACAAAGATTACTGTTAAGTTTTCTCTTTGTGTTAATAAAACTTGCGATATTATTGCATTAAAATTGAATCGTCTGGTACGTTTTGAACTGTACCCAGTATCGTAATAGCAAAAGAAAAAATTCTTACAAGGCTTTCGGATTGTCTGAAAAACAGTATATACATTTGTAATTATGCCTCTCTAGCAAAAGGAAAGGACTTTTAAGAAAAGTCTTCTAAATTCATAAATACAAAAAGAAAAAGAACGTAAGGTTCCGCTAATTCAAAGATCAAGCAATATTTTATTTTTGCCTCAAATACACATCATTCGACGCAGACTTTCAAGCTATATACGAATATCATATTTAAAAAATTTTCAGTGCGCGTTTTCGATAAAAAAGTCAAAAACTGGAAAGGGGTGTTTTTGAGAAAAATCTCCACTTTTTCATAAACATGTTCTATCTCAGTTCGATAAGGCCGGGGAACCTTCCAAATGTTATTTCCAGCAGAGGATGACAGCCACTATAGAAAATGTATTTCATGGTTCCCGAACCTTAAGCCGTTCAAAAAAATTCATTTTCAAGAGATGCTCAAAAAGAAATGAAGTCCTCAAGTTTTATTCCACCAGTTTTTTCTCACCAGTTTGTGGAGGACACTTCGGAGTATATGTCCCAACAAAGCTTTCAGTTCCCAGATTTATAAAGAAAATTTTTAAGTTTTTTCGGGTTTTTTGCCCTATTTTTAAAATTTAAACAAAAATCTCATTTTTTGATATGAAGAGTTGATTCTAGCATAGTTCGATAGAGAAAATCAATTTGTATAAGGAGGAACCATTTTCATCGTTCCCGAATGAAGTTTAACGCAGAACTTTAACGTTCACCTTCTTCAGGAAACTTCAGAGCTAAAAGTATTTTTCACCTCAGCTTACGGCTAGTTTCGCTCGAACTAAGCATTTTGAAGCAAAACTCTGAGTGCAAAAGCTGTTTAGAATCGAATTTTGGAGTCCCTAGCGCGAGCTTTTTCTAAAATTTTCCGCTTAAAATTTTAAAAACCGTAAAATTTAATTTAAAAGTCAAAAACACAAAATGTTAAAAAGAGCTCTCGTTGGGGACTCCAACATTGTATACTCAATCATCAACGACGATCAATGAGTTTATGCTTAGTGTGTTTTGTACACACAAGAAAGAGAATATTAGATACGGAACGACTTGAAAATAGATATAGAGAGAGTTATAAAGTAAGCAATAAATGAAAATGTACAGTTCCTACCGTGAAACATGACGGCTGTAGTGTAATGATTTGCGAATGTTTCACCTACAAAGGAGTTGGAAATCTATTCGTTGCGGATCGTACACTGGATAGACATTGTTACCGAGATACATTAAAAAAAAAATTTGTTGCCACCGATCAAAAAATTTAAACCTGGCACAAAATTCACCTTTATGCACAACAACGATCCAAAATATACATCAGATTTTCAAAGAAAAATTGTTCTTTCAGTTTCTACCCTCTAGTCCACGATCAGCACTCTTACGACGGAAGGCCATCAACTGTCCCATCGCTTTTCGCCTAAAACTTACGAGGAAACATATGTAAGTGTCCCGTTGCTTTTTCAACGATACCTAGTGAGTTATAGGTTATCGATGATGCTGATTTCGGGTATGAATATGAAAGCTGCTCTTAAGGCTTCGAAGACTCGCTTTTCTGGAAACCAGTTTTTATAGAAATAAGCTGTGCTTGTCGCCCGCACATTTCTGATTAAAATGAGACCCCTCCCAACTCTACATGACCTTTCTTTGCAAAGTTATAGAATTTACACGAAGAGCCCTAAATTAATTTCTTCTTATTTCTCTAGCTTCGAGTTGACAATTTAGGGCTTTTCTTGTAAATTCTATAACTTTGCAAAGAAAGGTCATGTAGAGTTGGGAGAGGTCTCATATTAATCAGAAATGTGCGGGCTACAAGCATGGCTTATTAAGAAAGGCTTTGGGTGTTTTTCAAAGTTTCTGAAAAACTGGTTTCCAGAAAAGCGAGTCTTCGAAGCCCTAAGGGCAGCTCTCATATTCATATTCGGAATCAGCATCATCGATAACCTATAACCCAGTAGGTCTCGTTGAAAAAGCGAGGGGACACTTACATATGTTCCCTCGTTAGTGGACAATAGGTAATCGAGTGTGCTAAATCCGAATATCACAATGGTTTTTCCCCAAAGGTCTCTAGAGACCCTGGGTTTGAAAAATTAGTTTTTCAGAACCTCCAAAAGATAACCAAAACCTTTTCTTAATAAGGCATAATTGTAGCGCGCAAATTTCTGATTAAAATGAGACATCTTCAGACAGCCCTACACGACCTTTCTTTGTATGATGAAAGTTTAAGAATTTATAAGAAGAGCCCTAAATGTTCATTGTCAGCTCAAAGCTACAGAAATAAGAAGAAGATAATTTAGGGCCTTTTTTGTAAATTCTCTAGCTTTGCAAAGAAAGATCATGTAGAGCTAGGAAATGTCTCATTTTAATCAGAAATTTGCGCGCTACAATTATGCCTTACTAAGAAAGGTTTTGATTATCTTTTACAGTTTCTGAAAAACTGATTTTTCAAAACCCGGGATTTCTAGAGACGTTTGGGGGAAAACCATTGTGATATTCGGGCTCAGCACACTCGATTACCTATTGTCCACTAAGTTTTAGGCGAAAAGCGATGGCACAGTTGATGGCCTTCCCTCGTCCGTATAATCGTATACATGGTTTTATAAAGAAACTCTCTCACTTTCAGATAATACTTAAACCCACCATAAAGGACAGACAGGTTCCTAGAAAATTGGAAATTACGGATATCATCGAAAAATTGCCACTTTTATCATCCTTTCGAGAGTAGTAAAACAATTATGAGTCAGTATTCTGTAGGTACATCTCTTAAGCATTATTCTGTATACTGAAGGTGCAAATCACATACAATTATTGTTCAACATCTGAATGGGAAGTGAAGCAGATGGCTATCAGAAAAGAGAATGTCTTGGAAATAATGAAGAAAAATGATAATAAGCAGGATACGCTTTTTTGAGTAGGGATAAAGTATAACATCGATCGTTTTGTGTCGATCGATTATAAACCTCATGATTTTCTTCAAACAGCTTTTGATTCATTTCATACTTATCATAAGATAAAATGTCTGTGTACCATTATAGATATTTTCGAACACTTCGTACAGTCACGAGGTGGATTAAGGCTAAATTTGACAGAATGAGTGGCGAGTGACCCTTGAATGCAAGAGCCGTACTGTTTGTTCCACAGCTTGTTCCACAACAACCCATTACATTGGATTTTGTACATTGATTAGAATAATAAGCTAAACAAGCTCTTACACATGCTGACGGACTACAACTGTTTATGTATGTGTAACCAACTTCTGTGGTACTTGGACAATGACATACGCACGAATAAGCACAACTTGTCCCACAACAGCCATATGTTGGTGTATATTTGGTACAAGACGACGATGCCCCAGCTATACATTCTTCGACGCATGATTGAGCGGTACAGGTCCCGTAGGATGGGTAATCTTGGTTTAGAGATACGGATGTCCCATATGGGCACTGACAAGTGCAGGAGTCACTTTCAATGGATGTTACAAATAGCAGCAAATGTAAAACAATCAAAATGATTTGCATTATGTGGTAATAGATGCTTGGTTTGACTAAAAGAATGTTCACAGGATAGCAAAAACTACTATAAATTTCAGAATATGATGAGTATTGTCAGTTTTTGAGTAACGCTTGATCGAAAAGACATAGAAGTATGCGGTTTGCAGACGAGACAGAGGCACATCCTTTTGTAAACAAAACGAACTTCGAATTCCTATCCGAAAGTAAAACTTTTATCCGATCTTTAATAACTTAATCAAATTCTCCGAAAAGTAAACAGTAAGTTTTCTGCATAACCGAAAGCGTGTCCTACAGAATGGGAACCGAGCAAGTTCTTAACCTTGGATAGTTGTGACGTAACATTAACTCTACTTGGGACCCTCAGATTAATATCCGGTGGGCTAAACAAACGTGGAACACAGATTTTTGACCGCATGGACAATTTGGGGTTGCTACAACCTCAAAATTCGCAGGTATACTCAGACACGTACGCCGACCTACCCATACCTACCTATACTTGCCCGTACCTACACACACACACTCGTACCTAGTCACACCTACTCGAGCCTATAGGTGCGGTCGGACCTAATGCCATTAATTGCACTTATGGGTTCTCAGTTGCCATGTTTCAAAGTGCAAGACTGCAGTCTTAGACTGTAAAGTGAATTATATAAGCGAATGAGCATTGTAATAAATGCAAAATTCTAAAGGTGCATTGCGCATAAGACTTGAAATCGACTCACCAACCTTTACGGCTCCAATCTGTCCAGAACACAGCAGAATCACCATATTCGATGATTTTCACCCTTCTCAGCGCTTTCGGTCGAGCCTGTGCAACAGAATTTACTCAAAAACAAATAACCTCGCAGCACTACCAGTATGACTGTAAAATCGAAAATTCTCAGTAACTATCAAATATTTCGCCTAGTCCAATATACCACTCGATGCGTCTTGAAAAACTCTACAATGTGGGTTAATAAGAAACTTAATCGAGCCTGACAGCGTCCTTTGTGACTTAAAAACTAGACTTTTATATGACATACAACTACATGATATACAACTACATCCCCTAAAAGAACTTGATAGTTTCCTATAATTAATAATTATTACTGACAAAGGTTATGCTTATTTATCAAATTTTCATGATTTATTTTAAGATATCATGCAATATCTTGCTACTTACAAAATATCGATGGAATCAATTATAACATCAAGCACTCCGTGTTAAAAATGAAATTCTGATTTCTTTTTCTTTTTCTTAATTCTAAAACATAAAGATGTTTACATGGAGTACCTGCTGCGATAGAAATATTAAAATTAATTGACTTTCCCTGTTTGATCTTCAGTAATGTTGCTATCGGCTAGTAATGAATCGTGTAGTTATTCCGTTCTTAACAACTTCCAGTTGCCCTGCTTCGATCAGAAACTTGTTCATATGCTAAGAAAATGTGATTTTACGTTTTACACGACAATTTTTCTCGAAAAAATCGCGAAAATATTTAAATTCTAAAAATTCGCAAAAGTGGATAGAGTTTTGAAAGTAAGCTTAGTTTTCACATTTATTGTTATTTTTATCTCGAAAAGCTATTTTTTCCAGATTACTCATTCACGAAATTTTGCTTTCTTTTCTTTATTTCAGACAAACAGTGGTGCTTAAAGATAAATATTTCGCTGATAAAGCACTGTGAATAAATTGGCAACGTTGTAAATTAACGCACCGTTGCTTTCATACATGAACAACAAGTTGTTTTAACTTGTTGTACAGATGATGTTGATTTGATACTGCCTTTTCTCTGCGACAGTACACATTGTTCCAATTGATACTTATAAATAATTGTTAGTTGTCTCGAAATGTGATTTGTAGCTTCATGAAATTTCTGTGGTGTATCCAACTTTCCAATTACATTTAATGCATTTGTTATTCGATGTGCGTCCCATTTTTCTAGTCCAGAAACAACACCACCTGCCACCTGTTCAAGCGTTGCTCCTGGTAACGATGTAAAATGGTTGATAATTCCTTTTAGTATTTTAAAATTTTGAGCACCAGTTGACACTCCACCCGTAAGAGAACGACTTACTTAAGCTACAAACTACTCCAGAATTGCAACTAGATAACTAAACAGAATGAACGTTTCTCTACAAAGTGAAAAATGTCTGGGCGCTGAACGTTGACTCAGTAGGAAAATACAGTTATTCTACAAACAGCCCAAAAAATCGATTTTGGGGGTGAGGGATACTAAAAAAAGCGAACAATTTTCTATTTAATAATCTGGAAAAGATAGTTTCTAGAGATAGAAATGACGACAAAGGTGAAAACTAAGCTTATTTTCAAAACTTCACCAATTTTTGCCGGTTTTTAAAATCTAAATATTTTGAAATGTTTTTCGAGGAAAATTCTCTTCTAAAACGTAAAATCACATTTTCTTTCGTAACTGAACGAGCTCTATCTAATTATTCATGACAAAAACAGAGAAAAAAGGTTTGTTGCACTTTTACATTGTCAGTGTTTGACATGTTTGCGTACGCTAAGCTATTAAAAACAATTCAAGCATTGATTTATTCAATGCATAAAACTGTATAAAAACTACAGTAGTATTCAAAAAAGAAGCCTATGTTTTCGGAAGTTCGCAATGATATGATCAGATTTAGCCGACGTAATTAAACATATTCTCAAGCTTTTAATTCGCTCTGACGGCTTTTTGGAAATAGTGAACTTTTACTATTACTGAAAATAATCTGGAAACCGTTGTTTTCGTAAAATTCGCTTTTCACCAGGTTTCGGGTTTATTCCGAAAAATAGCCATTCCGGATAGATTCAGCATTGTTGATTATTTATCTTTCATGTGATTTCAAGCCTATTCGAATTCGCCAGGTACGAAATCTTACCTCCAAGAAAATCGGATAGCTGCACTAGCGTAGCTGCTGCTCATGTAAAAGTCTAGTATTTATTTCATAAAGGATACTGTCAGGTTTCTTATTAACTCACGTTGTAGAGTTTTCGAAAGCCCATCGAATGGTATTTTGCACTAGATTAAATGTTAGATAGTTACTGGGATACCGAGAAATTTCCATTTTACAGACATACTGATGGTATAATATCTTGCTACTTACAAAATATCGATGGAATCAATTATACATCAAGTATTCAATAGTCCAACCGTGTTAAAAATGAAATTTTGATTTCCTTTTTCTATTTCTAAAACATAAAGATGCTTACATGGAGTACCTGTTGCGATATAAATATTAAAATTAATTGATTCTGCACTGTTTGATCTTGAATAATGTTGCTATCGGCTCGTAATCAATCGTGCAGTTATTCTGTTCTTAACTGCTTCCAGCTGCCCTGCTTCCATCAAGAATTTGTTGACGTGCGGAGAACGTAGAAGCGCAGCAAACCTTTTTTCGTTTTTGTTCCGTCATCGCTGATTGGATAGTGCTCACCAAGTTGCGAAAGAAAACGTCATTTTACGTTGTACAAGACAACTTTCCTGAAAAAACTTTCAAATTTCAAATTTTAAAATCGGCAGAAATGAGTAAAGTTTTGAAAATAAGCTTAGTTTTCACCTTTATTGACATTTCTGTCCCTACAGATTATCAAGATATGCTCTATTCTATCTGCTCAAAGAAATTCTGTGGTGATATGTTGCAGAGCATACTTTGATATTCTGACTGAGTTATGAATTTTCTTATTTTACGTGAAAATAGGCAGAAATGGGTTATTTCACCTAGTATAAGGTTTCACTAGATTTGGGAACTTTTCTCGAAAAATAAACATCACCACGAGAATCAGCATAGTTCAAAACCTATGTTCGCATATATTACTGTTTTTTAAATAGTTTTATGACTGTCAGTTTAATACTACGGTTATTGTCTGTCACAGAAGCAGTTTCATCTGTCGGAATATTCCGAAGGCCTTGTCTTGTAGAAATCTGATCTTTATTAACAGAGGAAAGGGACAAGAGTCGAACCTGCTTCCTCCGGCTTTGAAGTGGTGTTCTACCGATGAACTACCCCTTCCTCTCTGTGTATAAAAATTAAGTTTCTAGAAGGATAGAAAAAGAAGGCATATCGAAAGAGTAACAACTGGTAATGTTCTTAATGAATCAATTCCGAAAAATCTGCTGGTACGCGTTACTCCTTCACGGTTTTACTTAGCTTTACCAAACCAAGAACCAATTAGTCCCAAAATATTTAACAAACTCCATTTCAAATACAGAACTAGAAAGGTCTTACTTGCAAAAGTTCTAATTGCTGTTGATCCTGCAGGAAATAATATTTAAACTTATCGTACAGTAAGAATTTCATTTGATCCATCAATGTATCATCTGGACTAACACCTTCAAGAAACAATTTAATTATTTGAAGTGCATAGTACGCGCTCCCAATTGTAGGATATTTTTGAGCTGACATGAGCCGGGTAACAATCATAAAGGGTCTCAATATATTTTTGATATTTTCTAATATATTCCATTCATCTGTGTCTAATACCAAATCTGCTAGTTTTATACGTTGATCATTATGTAGTTTCGATGTATGCTTATCGTGCTGCAAGAAATGCTGATTTTTTTGTGTTGCAGAAATGACTCAATCCTTGTAAGGATGAGTTCTGTCTGATAACACAGTCCAACGACAAGAAACGCGTAACATCATCATTATTATGCTGTAATTCTGCTTGACTGGTGTACTCCGATAAAATTGTAGATCTAGAAAAGTGAAAGTAACAAGAAACGTGGCATAATCAAGTTCCAAACTCCTTCTATGTTAATGTACGCAGTTTCAGTTATAATGAATCTTCGACAGGACAGAAACACAAATAAAACAAGAGAATTCGTACCTGGATACGTATTTTACACACTCAACTTTATTGTCCATCTTTTTAGTACCTTTAAATCTGTTTTCTTAGAGAAGCGATTCACATTTGAAACATCTATGTAGGTTACATGAATCGCTTCTAGATAATGTAACGCTGGAGAGAGATGAGTAGAAAAAAGCCGAGCACTAAAATCATTTATCTTTCGATCATTTTGATAGTCTCACGCAATTTTTTCACCATAATAGCAATTTTCTGTTGATCCTTGTTTGTCATCAGAGTTGAAGTCGTCACTGTATCAGCACATATAATATCTTCCTACGACGTATCGAATAACTTCTCGTCAGCTTCATTTGACTCGTACTCATCACAAATATCTACCCAGTGGTCTTGAGTCATTTCCACTTCCGCTTCATTACCTCTATTTTTCCACTATGTTTTGCTGTTTGCATCCTTTGTGCGAACTCCTTGAGCGAACTCTCACTAAAAATAAAGTCGTACACTAGAAAGAATAAATCAATGCTTACTGTCGAATGTTGAAGTTGTGTAATCGTTGTCCCTACAGGAGTGCGCGGATTTTAGATGACCCATTGGAACAGCGATTACATAACTTCAATCATTCGATAAGATAGAAGCAGAGAGTGCATAGTTTACTCTTACTGTTTTTCTGCAAAGATGACATGTGTATAGTTCTGCTTGTTATTAGTAGAAGGATTATTGTTGTGTATTTAATGAAAGAATAAATCAACTGTAAAACCTATCATTCGTTCATTTTTTCCTCCTGGAATATGAGTATACCGGGAAAAAAGGCCAGCTTTTATTAAGATGCAATACAGAATACGACGAAACAAAAAATGATGATTTTTTTGTTGTTTTTGCTGATTTCTGATTGACTTTATTATTTTTCATCATTAGAGGTCTTTCTTAGAATGCATATAGTTTTATGGAAATCCATCGTGGAGAGCCCGGCGACGTCTGATTTTGTTCACAATCCTACGTTCTACATGAATGAGTTGTTTGCAAGAAAATTCGCATTCGGAATTAGGTACTTTGTTTTCTAGGTTATGTGGTTTCCAGAGAACCAACTTCAAAAGCTTTTGAGAAACTTTTTATACAAATTCCATAGGATTGGAAACTTTTAGCTATACAAAGTTTTTACAAACTATACGAATACGCAGATAGGAAATAATTTCAAAACGAAATCGTGATGTACCGGTTCCTTGTTGACGAAAAATAATCTTAATTAAAGATAAGATAATGGACATGATTTAACTTGTTCGTATAATACGTTTCCACACACTCGAACCACTTCGAGTATTGTACTAAACTGGTGCTGCCAAATTGTACCAAATTGGCACAATGCAATCTATATAGGAGAATATTGGTACTACCAATATTCTCCTGTATAGATTGCATCTATCATATGAATAAAAAATGCGAAATTTTCCTACACTTATCTATACGATTTCTAACTCCAACGATTTTCTCATAAAATCCTTTTTCTTCATCCAAAAGCATTGAAATCAATGTGGTATTCGGAACGAGCATCGAACATTGCATAGAAAAATCCAGTTCTTAGACATTCTTTGAAATAGTTTCCTCCGATTAAATAATTTCAACTAAGGTCTCTCTTTAGCTGTTTTGACAATAAACTAAGAGTTTTGAGAATAATTCTTTTCGTCTAAAAATTCCAGTGAAGGTATTTTTCTTAATCACAGAAGCAAACACATAGCTCAAAATTTGTCTCCATGTACATGAATTTCTTGCTCATGCAAAACGCTTGTGGTATGCACATGAGGAGAAATATCTAAAACCATGTGCATACCCCAAGAAAGTCATGCGCACACTTTAAGATAGTCATGTGTATACCTTAAGAAAGTCACGCATCATCGATTTTCCGCTTTGTAAGATAGCTCTAGCGTCGTTTTTTAGGCTTGATTACACCATGTTTTGCTCGGACTTTTCTTCGAGAATCTGATGCAATCAGCTTTTAGTCTTCTCAACCCTTTGGCACTCTCACCATGCTATAATCTTTATCTACAAAGGAAAAGACGTGATTTTCAATGAAAAGCTCATGACAGTTCAAAGTGAGTACACAGCAATTTTGACTTTTCACACACTCAAACCACTTCGAACATTGTACCAAATTGGTACTATGCAATCTACTTTTGTATGACAAATCAGTAAGAAAATGCACATTAGAACATGCAAAAAATGCGAGTAAAAATGGTCTTCATCTTCACAGTATGTTAAAAAAAGGAGACATATTACCGACAAAAAATTAAAGTTCATTTAGAGTTAAAGCAAAGTGCTTTTTCGTATTCCGCACACGTGATAACCTGGAAAATTTTCTATTCTTAGCGAGGGCTACCGCCAAAAAGTTAAGAAAAATTTTTAAAATTGTTTAATTTTACCATGGGGATTTTTCTGCGTTAATTTGTTTGAAAATTTTTCTTAACTTTTTGACGGTACCCCTCGCTAAAAATAGAAAATTTTCCAGGTTATCAAGTGTGCTGAATACGAAAAAGCACTTTTCTTTAACTCTACAACAACCAAAACAAAAACAAAATTAACAAACTTTAATTTTTTTTTATCGGTGATATGAGTGGCTGAGCAGGCAACGTGCATTATTCTCTTGCATACCTAGGACGTCCACATGTCTGCTCTATATACAATCATGTCCATGTCCACATTTCTATATATTCACATTGAAAGAATGAAATCAAAATTTTGAATTTTATTGGTCAAAGCAGATCAATAGGACAAGGAAGAGAAGTGTGACTGGCTGAAGCGCTTGAGCTACGAATCCCATGTGCATGAGTCTTCTGAGACACGAAACTCTTGTTTTTGGGCTTCAAAGATCTCTTCGCAAGATATCGCCAGAATAAAGAACGAACTGGAGCATTTAACATTAAAAAGATTTACACTTATGTTAAACGATGAAAGGCTGGACTATCCTTAGAATGTCGAAACCTGATACGGGAATAGCGTACGTAACAGAGCCGACTTTTTTGTGCTAAAAGATTCACAATTCACTCAAAAAACATCACAACTAGTTGAAAGCCTCAGAACGTATATTATTTAGACTATTTTATATTCTGTCTATAAGAGATCCACAAAGAAATTTTAGAAAACACTATGGTTTTCATATGCTTCGTCTTGTGTGAGAATCGAATATCTGTCAAGCGTTAACTTATAAAACATTGCTGTTTAAACTATGCCAAAACAGGAATTTATACACCGAGGCTTCGATTTTGTACAATACATTTCACGCAAGCAAAAAAAAGTGGTAAATATTTTTGCCAGTCTGTTCGATTGCTCTTTGCTGTACTTTTAAACTATAACTACAGTCGAACAGATCTTGACCGAAATTATTATGCTATTTGATATAACCTTATTTATTTGAAAAAGAAAGAAATCAGCAATTTTATACTACCTCTACCCACCAAAAGAGAGACACACCCCCGTTATTATCGGCGATAGAGAAAACAAGAGCTATGCATATTGTGAGAACAATAGAAAGCTCTGATAAAAGAAGAAAGAAGAAAACAAGATAGCAGATGGAGAAAAGAATGTACATGTACGTTTAGTAATATGTTCCCGCATGGTTGTATGATGATACACAGAGAGTATAAAAAAAATGAAAAAATGCAAGTAATAATCAATGTTAGTTTCGACACCAGAAAGCGAGAGAGAGAGGAAAGAACAGAGAGAAAGGTAAACATACAATTGTTCTTCTGAAAAACGTTTTGAAGTACAAATATACTCTATAACTACATGATATGTGCATAAAAAATCGTCTTTCGAAAGCGTCACATTTAATAGAAGGGGATCAAGACTAAGGTTAAGAGTGTCCCTAATCGACATTCCCTAAGAAAGTCGTCAGGGACCCCTCAGGAATTTTTAGGGGAGTCCCCTAAAAATTCCTGGAGACTCCCTATAGGCCTGTTGGTCCATCATTTTTAACTTTATATAACTAATTAGTAATTAAGTGCCGGGTACCAGTGTAGTACATATCAGCCATCGAAGATTGACACATTAATGCTGACTTACTAGAAGAAAATTTGTAAAATTTTATCATAGAACTACATTATATTTATATATTGTCTATATGCAACGGACTGCCCGCGGAGTACACATTTTTAGGGATTCCCCAGCGACTTTGAGAGGGATTCCCTAGGGAGTTATCGGGGATTATGCAGTTTTCGGGAAGTCCCGGTGACTTGGAGGTGGAGAGTCGACTCGAAATTTCTTATCGTTGAGATTTTTCTTAAAGAGTTATTTTTTGAGCGCGATATATTAAACAATCCAAAAAGTAATGGTGAACAGTCTCTACCTCTCCATATTTGCATGAACTTATCAAAGCCAACGATTTTTTGCGTACATCAGCTTTCAAAACAGAAAAGTTAACCAGAAGTCTACTGTATAACACGTCGACAGCTCTGGGGATATTATGAACACGAAAATAGAAAAGGAACAGCCGTAGTGGACGCGAAGCTGTTTTGGGAAAGTTTTTGAACACGTGATATTTATACATTGACGTAGTTTTGACCAAATGTGGGTGGTAAATGGGAAGACAGATCTGTTCGCTGTCACTGAATCGACAGCGAAGGAACAACGAAATGCACGTAAACGTTGTACATTCTCGTAAATTGTATGGAACGGTCTCTCTACTTCGAATACAGGATGTGAGGAACGCAGGTGCTTCGCCTCTAATTATTTTCCGAAGCAATGTTAAGTTATGAATTTCATAGAGTTCCTGAATGTCAGGCCATTTCAAAAATCGTCATGCCCTGAATATGATTAAATTTGAAACAACATAGGAAATATAGCATTTCCATGATAGCGATGACCCAGAAGCTTTTCTGTTTTTGGCGAGGAGTACTTCCAAAAGCTTAGAAAAATTTTTCCCATGGAAATCTGTCTGCGTCATTTTGTTTCAAAATTTTTCTTAAACTTTTGGAGGTACCCCACTGCCAAATTTTCTACGTGACTTGTCTCACCAAAACAAGAAAATAAAACAATGCTTTTTATTGCTTTTTTTCGTACTAAAAATCGGTCACAACGCGTTTTTCTATTTAAGAAAATGAAATTTGGCCCAAAATAGAAAATCTTTGGATCATCAAGTGTGCCAGATACGAAAAGGTACTTTTCAACAATTCAAAACCAACTTAAGTTTTTGTTCCGGTGATATGCCTTTTCAAAAATATAAAGCAGTTGACTAAGACATACAGGCAACCTTTACAGAAATATATCGAGTAACTTTCAAGAATTTTTTAAACCAGTTTCTGAGAAAACTCATAGATAAGCCCGTAGTGTGATATCTAAAAATCAGTAGAAACCTCGCACAAACCAGCACGACATAACTTTGCATACAATTTTATTTCATAACAAAAGTGTTTTGCATGGTTTCTAAGAAACCCGTTTTCCAAAAATCTTCAGGAAGACCTCGTGAAGACCTGGAAAGTATTTCGATCGATTTTTATGATTCTTTTTGGCTATGAAACCATTTTTTCCGTTGAACTTGAAAGACGAAAAGACACGTTTTTTTACTCATGTTGATACGCTCTATCCAACCATGAGTAAATCAACGAAGAATAGAAACGTACTCAAAGTTTCAATTACCGGCACGTTACCTATTTCACCTTCTATTTTTTTCGTATTATACAGATAAAAGAAAAACACATGAGACACTATTGCGTACATTTTTGCGCATTAAAAACCAAAACGATTATTACATTTATACTATTTATTAATGACTATAAGAACGTATAATAACATCTCTTAGTTTATCCGCTTACGGTACTTTTTTTCCGGTGTAGTGTTAAATTTCATTGTCTTTCCTCTGCTCTTTAGTTTATTGTCTTTCCTCTGCTCTTTAATTATTGTCTTTCCTCTGGCCTTTAAGACTAGCGTATTCAACATGGCATCATCATTATCGTCGTCAAACTCATCACTAGATAAAATTAAATGCCAATCTAATACAAATTGTAAAAAAACTGGTATATCGGTCTGTAATGGCTGTAAAAACCAGTATTGTGCTGAACATTTGGTTGAGCATCGTCATTATTTATATGAGCAACTTCAAGATGTCTTAAGCGAGAAAGAATTGTTTGGTCAAGAAGTCCAGTCACCATCACTCGATGAATCATCTGCTAAGCGACAAAATGGTCTGTTTAAAGAAATTGATGAATGGGAAACTGAAATGATCGATGCAGTAAAACGAACCGCTAAAAATGGTAGAAAAATTATTCAAAAATTAGCTAACGCAGAAAAACATAAAGTACGTGAAAATTATGATGAATTAAGTAAAGAAATTAGTGAAAGACTAGAACAGGATGATTATTATGAATATGATATTGAACGATTGAAAGAGGAAATTGAAACATTGAAACAGAAATGGAATGATTCAATGACAAAAACGAAAATGACACAAATTCAAATTAATTTTAAGGATATCGATTGGTCAAAAATTCTCGAAGTAACAGCAGAAAATAAAGGAAAAAAGAACAAAATAGATGATTCAGAACAAAAGATAACTGAATATAAAACAACTTCACAGGAAACGTTTGGTGAAGTATGTGGAACCATTGAAGTTCGAGAAAATGGTAGTCTTGCTTGTAATGTCAACAAGGATTTTTTCGGTTGTCATTCGTCCGTATTTGGAACCAATCTCTATTCGACTGACATCCATGCAATTCCAATGAGAATTGAAAAAATGACAAACTGCATGTTTTTTGGAATTATATCTGCTACAACAGCACATACAAGCAATCGATCCTACAAACTACACACATCTTATGGGTGGGATACTTACAAAAAACATGCTTATTTAAATGGTAATCGCAAAGATGACTATAATAATTGGGATGGTAATATTATTGAAGCAGATATAATTGTGTTACTAATAGATTGCAATGAAAAACGAATTCAATTAGTAAATAATCGTACTAAAAGTCAATATGAAATGCCGATTGATATTAAATGTTGCCCATTTCCGTGGAGATTAAATGTCAATATTGGTGGTCATGACAATCGTATACGTATTTTACACAAAGAAAAACTCGAAGTTCATCAAACTTAATTTCTAATTTGTTTTCGCAGAAAGTATCATAAAATTGTTCAAAAAACTATACATAATTATTATACATATTATTTTTGTTTTATTTGTGTGGAACGTGTTTAAAATTAAGTTTTTTCGAACATGTCAGGTATCGCTAATTCAAAAATTCAGCAAAACTTTTTTCATGATATTTACGCATGGTTGTGTAGGGTTTGTCGAGACGATCTAGAATATATATTCCACTTTAAAAAAGCTTTTAGACGAGAAAAAATTTAATAATTTTGAGAGTCTAAAATTTGAAAAATGGTTCATTTTTCGAAAAAAATTCAATATCTCTGCTCTCGTTCACTTTGAACTTCCAAAACAGTGTTATTCAGATTCAGCATCGAAAACTGAACGGGCAGGTAATTTCTTCTAAAATTTGAATCTTTTCCCCTTCGTTAATCGCGTAAGTGTTTCGCAATAAGTCGCTTAATTTTGGCTGAAACTCTAGAAAACATGGTTTTCATACGTAAAAAGCATCGTTGAATCCGATGAAAACGTTTTCAAGGTTTTTACAGGATTATCCAGAAAGAACACTATCTACAATGATAGAGTATTGGATTTCCTGCAAAATGAGACATTCCCGATATTTATGGGGCCTCTGGAATGCGTCATCCAGTTTTACAAAGCGAAAGGAAAAAGAGTTCTAAAGTCAAAATCAGATAATTCGGCGCACCAGTCTCGCAGAGGTGATAGGAATATCTTATTTTGTAGAAAATTCAATGCTCCATCATCGTAGAAGGCAGTGCTCGATAGGGACGAACTAAGTTGCTCACTGAACTTTCACAAATTTTCAGAGCAGATAGAGAAATGTGTCCTGAACATTTTTGTCTCTTGACATTTCTCTCCAAAATTGCTCTTGCAAAAAACGTCGTAAAATACGGAAAAAAAGCGATTTTTCAGTCGAAAATTTTGCTTACGCTATACTTGCGTCAAATCAAATGCTAACGAGCTTAAATTTTTACCAGAGCTGTCTTGGCATGAGTACTATCCATGATAAGAATTTGCACTTGGTTGAGTTAGGCGTTCTCCAGAAATAGTTTATTCTTTGGAAACAAAAGAAAGAAAGAAAAGTTTTTATTTATGAACTTTCTTTCAAATTCGGATATTTGAATACAAACAACCTGTGCTGATTGATTTGTTTGAAGGCTCGTTTTGAGATACAGCACTGACTTGTATATCACCCGATGCATATTTGTCTTGCTCTAAATTTCGAAAAATTCGAAATCGGTTCTGACTTTTGAGCTTGTTTCTTCAAATCTACGCCAAAAACTTTTACTGACTAGGCAGAGTTTCTCTTCTTGTTGAAAAAAACAATTTCATATTTTAGTTCCCTCGACTTTAGTCTAGGGTCTTACAAAATGGTTGTCTGTGAGCAAAATACGGAAAAATGGCTGTCAGATATTCTATGGATAAGCGAATCGCAAGAGAGAAAAGTAGAAAATTATTTTTTACATAAGAGTAAAAATATTGAAGAGATGGCTGAAATAATATTTACTGATGCAGAGAGAAAAAAAACTACGCAAACGTTTCTGTAGTTGGGAGATAGATGTCGCCAGAAATCAGTTCATTTTGATAACACAAAAAGAACCTTCTACGGATAATAAAACTTACAGAATATAGATAGTCTATCACGGCAAATCTATCAGTATACTTCCAGCCCCCTTGGGATCTGCAGAGGGTGAAATAATCATAACAACAATTATACTCACTAACTTGCAGGAAAATTTTCGGCAATGTAACCTGGAAACCTACAGGATATATCCAACATTCACAGGATTTTTTGAGATTTCTGCGTGTTAATGCAGGAATTTGTAAATCTTTTGTAAAATAAGGTAAATCCGTTAATTACCGTTACCGTTGCATGCCTACTTATCACTTTTTGGTAAGATTCTTGTTTGTTTCTTATGGTTTGATGGGATTTAGGTTATCACTTTTTAATCTACCTGTATCACCTGAGTTTAGACACGTATCCCCATGTTTGCTGCCTGTTCATAACTTGCCACCGACAACTGTTAGCAATCATGAAGTTGTTGCTAAATATCATCATCTTTTCTTCATACAATGGACACTCCCTTAACTATTCTTTCCACGGGATCCAGCTAACCTGAAAATCTATGTACAATATACTTTTGAGATTCCCAAACTTCTGATTTGTAAAGCGACATCTGTTGTACATCCATGTGCGTTTAGAATAGTACTTTGCTGTGTAGATTTTTGAAACGGCAGACTCGACATTTTGTTTCGAAAAATACACCGTGGGAAAGCTCTTCGGAAGACTGGATTTTTCCATAGGATTATAGTCTCAAGTGTCCAGTACCAAATGCTGAAAACCGAAGATCTGTCTCTCATTCCTATCAAAGTTAGTTTATAAAATACCCATGGATATTAATTTTTGGTGGTGATAATAGAATGAGACTTAGAGGTGGGACAGTTCCAGTTACCCTTCCTGGTAACTGGAACTGGTCACCAGTTACTGTTTTCTGCATAATCAAGATGTAGAAAAGTTAATGCTCATCTATCTCGTTTTTATACTGTAATAAACTCATCTAGTGCAGTTCCCATAGACAATACTGCCACATTTTCCATAGGAACAATACACATATAGAAAATCTTTATTCTACAGCCTTTAATGTGAATATTTCTATACTGTGGGAAGCGCCTTTTACTGTTAAAAGATATTATAGTGCAACAAATATCCACTTAAAGATGTAAAATTATGTCGATTTGAAAGAACAGTAACTGGTGACCAGTTCCAGTTACTAGGAACGGTAACTGGTCACCAGTTCTTTTAACCAGTTACTAGAAACAATAGGAACTGGAACTATTCCAACCAGAGGTGCAACCGGTACCGGTATGAAGTATAGCGTCGACCGATATACCGGCCAGTTTACCGGTACCGACATGAATTATTATAACGGCGACCGGTATACCGTGATTAATATGAAGTAGAATCAGTCGGCCGATATTTTGCGGTATGATACGATTTTGCGACAAACGTTTAAATTCAGTTCATCTATGACATATTTCTTCCACTA